TTTTATATATATATCCAAGAAAGCTAAGGAACCAGTCAAAATAATATTTCAGCATTCACGCGTAACAATAACAAATCTCAAAATCAGAAGAAACAACAATATTAATTGGACAACAAACTATTCATTCATTGCCAAAATAAGTTACCATAAATTGTAATGACCACATTTGGGAGGAAGAACATAAGAACAATGAGCACTGCCCAGACAACAATTTTAATAACCCATCCACCATGGTGCCATGAAACACGTTTGTCATTCTGATCCTTGACCCCAATCATAGTCAAGGCAAACAAAATAAAAAACAAGAAATTTCCCAAACTGACACGGAGAACTGCATTGGTCTGAAACCATTCTTTTGGCGGAGTGTTGGTGAAAGTATTTATCCCTGCAAAATCCAGCAAAATAACAATTTTAACAATAAAAAAAAAGAACTCATATGAGATAATAGACGATAAAAAAAAAACCATTCAATGTGCCATAGGCAAAAGAAGAATATGGTAAAATATAACAATATATTTAGGTTAGTAAATTTCCGTAAAAGTAAAGACCAACTGTCAGTAAACAGCAAAACATAAGAGCAACAAATGAAACCTTAAAAACGAAAACAATTTTTTTCTGTAAAGGAAAATTCTTGGCATAAAGATGGACGAAGAATAGTTAAAAACAGCTTGTTCTTGAATCCAGCCAACTAGCCATTTGATGAAGCTTCTAGGCACTGCTTGCATGGTATCAACTTAAGAGTCATTTGATTTTAATGCAAAAACAAGCTCCTAACAGCTCGGTATAAAACAAGGAATAATCAACTAAAAAGGCTAGCTCCCCAAAGATTTTGAGCATATTTACTTATAAAAGACCTGAAGCTTCTCCATTAAAACCTAGCCACAAGCTTTCTCTCCACAGAATAATATTTGGTTTCAAGAACAAAATAACTTTCAGACATTGAAGAACTGACGCTCTTCCTCTAAAGTTTAATCTATCAGATGATGTTTTCAAGATAGTGGAACTCGAATTTAAATTAATGATTGTTTCTTCTAAACTGGATATCATTATCAAATCGTAACAACTAACTTTCTGTGGTGGTTGGGGGAAAAGCTGGTAAAGAAAAGAAAGTTTCCTGAACAGATTATTCATGTTCTTGGTAAATACATTGCAAAGTAAATACAGTAGATTTGATATCATTTACTTTGAACCAAACAGACATATAAGATAAGTAGGTAGGACTAAGACAGCAATAGGGTCAAATAAAATAGATTTTAAAGCAGTAAGCATAGTATAATTCAAATTCATCCTCAAAGGGAAGATTAAATTTGACAAAAAATAAAAAATAAAAGGATGATTTACATGCCTACCACTCAATTCTTACATATTTATATATCTTACACCTAAACTTCAATTTTTACATACATCCCACCTTACCTAAGCTTGACAAGGTGTATAACACTTTTTCAGATTAAAAAAGGTGGTATTTGTGATGTGATATGAAAGAATTGGGAGGTATAAATGTAAGAAGCAAAGTTTAGGTGTTAGATATGTAAATACATAGGAATTGAGTGGCATGTATGTAAATGCCCCAAAATAAAAAATATGTTACCAATAAAGAGGTACACTCCAAATAGTATTGGTTTATGTTGAACTAGCGTTGGACAAGGAAACACCTCTAACATGCCCCAAATGTCCAATAGTCTAATGAATAGAAATCATGTCTATTATATTTTTGTTTATCATTAGAGTCAAGTATAACTGAGACATACATTGGGCCACGATGATAATAAGTTGAGTTATTTCTAGACAAGCAAGCTTTGCTTACGTCATCTTTCAATGATGAAATGAAAGTTGCTATTGAAGAGGACATTGATGTGACTGTAGTGCAAAGTGTGTTGACTCAATTACCGATACATCTTAGTGTTCATATTTTTTCGAGTTAATTTGAAGATTGCATACTATTTTTTTAAGCTTTTGTCAATAGATAGTATACTGTTGATATTGACAAAATCATGTAAATGAATAATACTAATGTTGGTGCTTTGTTGACGATTAAATACACCAGAAAAAAAATTAAATGTAATTGAAATTAAACCAATGCTAATTTTTCTCTAATTTATTATTGATACATAAATATTATAAATCATTGTATGATATTTCTTCCATAGAAGATAAAGACACTAGGTGTTTTAATTATGTTTTATATAAATAATTTTTTAAAGAAAATATCATTTCAAGGCATGTCATGTCCTACTTGTATGGTTATCATGTATCTTTGTCATAGTATTTCATAGTCTCTTTGTTATTCTGATATTTTATCATAGTGTCTCTTAGATGAATGTTAGTTCTTAGATAGTTTTTAACTTTCTTAGTGCTCTTGATTTTGATAAAAAAAGAGCACATTGAAAATTTGATTTGTAGAAATTAATTTAACATGCTAATTTTATCTGTTTTCAATTTCATAAAAAAATTATAGAATAATGTTAATCATTTCATAATCAAGTGATTTTTAAACTATATTTGTGATTGTTCTCATCGATAGATTTTTCTTTGCATAAAACATATTATGCCTACACTACCTGCAAAAGAAAACCCTCCTCATATAAAGCAATAATTTTAGAGGGATGAAATCCCTAAAAAGATGAAATTGTTATATAGGTATCATATCTAATAGATGATTAATTAGGCCATCTATAATCACATTTTGGATATCATATAAGAGAAATATCAAAAGGGCTAAAGCAATTGAAATTTCAATAGTCTAATCTCTTAATTAAGATTGCCAATAGTGTTGATTTTTATATCACTATGTTACAATTGAAGATCCAATCCACAATTGAAGACGAAACGACGATCAAAAACCAGTTGATCAAGAGGAGGCTAAAAATTTGAGCCATTAGAAGGTTATTGATAAAACAGTAAAATTAGGATAAATTTTGAATATTAAACTTAACTTGAATTTTTTTTACTTAATAGAGCTACTTCTAGAAGGGAAAGCTTACCAAACTTTTATAATTAGTTTAGAAAGGCTAAAGATTATTTAATTTTGCATTATAATTGTGTATAAATAAGCTTGATTCAAAATCAATCATTCTCCCGTAGACTTTTTTTCACTCTCTCTTTCTCTCTCTCTGGTACTCACTCTCCCCAACCCCCCCCCCCCCCCCCCCCTCTAGGGCTTACTACTTTGATTGTTGCGGTCTTTCAAACCATCCAGGAATAAATACAGCAAGAGTTACTTGTTTTCTAGTGTTGATATAATTCTTAGTGGTTGCATGGATTTAATACAGCAAAAGTAATTTGTTGTCCAGCGCCAAAAACAATTCATGGTGGCTGAATACAATAAACCAGAAAAGGGAAACATCAAAGGACATGTTTGACACAAGAAGTTCAGATTTGATGTTCGATGCAACAAAAAGAGCAATTTTCATAGAGAAAATAGAAAGAAATGTCGTCCACAACAAAAAGGAGGCACTAAGGAATGCCTAAATTTATCCCTCTTAAACTTTTAACGTGGACTTGGGTCATCTCTAGAGCTTCTAGCAAAAAAAAAAAAAAAACCTAAACCTCTTGCTATCCCTCTTAAACTTTTAATGTGGACTTGGGCCATAGCATTAAGAAGGTAGGATCAAATCATTAGCGAACAGTAATGGCACCAATACCAAGATTCATCCAATATTCACATTACAACATCAATCCAAACAACATTTTTTGACACAGATGGAAGTCCTTTCAAAACTTTCCAACAACAAAGTCATAAAATTATAACTTCAAAAATGATATCCACTCAAATGAATTGTCACTAGAAGGACAATTAGGCTCCTCCTAATGGTATGCAATATTCTTGACCAGAAATGTAGATTCACTATGAAACAATCTTCCTTCAATAATTACTGATGAATACAAAAGACTCTCGCAAAAAATATTCTTCTAGCATGAGAACATGAAATTTTTATGGTCCGCTCCATTCAAGCATGCCAAAACAGCACATGGGAGGTTACCAAATCAATCCAATCCAATCGAAGCATCAGCTTTCACTATATTTGCAATCATATAAATGCAACACTTCATCCATTCCCCAAAAATAATAAAAAAGGGAAATTTACATACCTAAGCATACGATTCTTATGTATTTACATATCTCACACCTAAACTTCATATTTACATATATAACAATCTGCCACTTTAAACCTATGCATGAAAAGGTGCATCTCACTTTTACGAAGTGGTAATAGTGCTATTTTTTATGTGAAATTAAAGCTTTGAGTTCTATGTGTGTAAATATTAAAACTTACGTGTGAGCTCTGTAAATACATTAGAATTGTGTGCAATGTATGTAATGCCCCTAAACAAATAGCGCCAACATTTGACAGCAGACAAATCATAGGCAAAGGATACCCTGAATATAAACTAAAAGATATGCAAATGTTTAATTATTTCCATGCGTTCCTGTTTCTGCTTCACAATCTTATCACACGCAAAAGCAGAGAATGACATATGAAAGGGGATTTCAACTGGAATTTACAATAACCACCTGCAAACTATTCTAATAAATGACGTTTTTGGGGTCTCATACCATGTTATCACACTAGAAATTATATAGATACTTGAAATTTGTGCACACTAAGAAGGTGAACATGAAAAATTAGGTCTGAATATTCCCAAAGAGAATATTATGTTGTGTTGGGCGTAAGTCTAGGAACCTGCTTATGCCAAAGATCCTAAGACAATTTCCAAAGGTACTTGAAATTTGTGCACACTAAGAAGGTGAACATGAGAAATAAGATCTGAATATTCCGAAAGAGAATATTATGTTGTGTTAGGCGCAAAGCATGGAAACTAGTGATGCCAAAGATCCTAAGACAATTTCCAAAGCCGTGGCTCATACATCATGTCCAGTCAACTGTCGATGAGTAGACTGGTGAACTGATTTTAATACACAAGAAAAGTTAAGGAGTAGACTACATGAGTGCTTGCAATGATACGATTAGGCTATAGTACACAGATGCATTTAGAACTTCATGAATATTGTTAATGGATGTTTGTATGAGTGCTTGCAAAAAATTATGCAGAAATGTAGTATTCTCGACTCCTGATATTTATACGGGGGAGAAACTTTGAAAGCCGTTGGAATTAGGCAGTGAAAGAAATTTAGGGAATCGTGGGTCTCAGGGGGGGCTATTGATAACAGTTATGTTAGGCGAAACCTAACTTTTATCGATAGTTTATATAAACTTTAGGGTAGGATGATGACCTATGATGAAAAAATATGAAACTAATTGAACCTTATACATTAAACAAGTAACGTTATTATGATATAATCTTTATAAAATGAATGAAACTGCTTATGAACATGTTTTTATATACTTATAATTTTATGCTCCCAACTTGATCGTTATACTACAGTTGATTTTTTTATACTACATGTACCCGCTCCCTTCTCATGTTTTCCAATTATGTCAGTACGTTATGATTGTATGCAGCCATGTATAGTTTTATACGGATGCACATTGTGTCTTTTCCATGTAAAAAATCTTACGTTAGCCCTGATTATTTATCTGAGTTCGTTGTTGCTCATTCTTCATTGTTGCCTTATAGGTAAAGGTAATGAACACCTAGACAAGTAGCCAGTTTTGTCTTTGTATAGCTTTTTTCCTGTTAGTTTTGGGAGCTTTGTAAATATGATTTGAGTAAGTATTTTTATTGTTTTGAATTTAACAGTTTTGTACAGTTTTCATGTTTTAGATGATTTAATTTTCATGCTTCTAAATATGTAATTGAAATGCAATGTACCACGTACGTGCGGCGATCCAGTTAGATAAATTTATCACTCACTGTGTTCTTATTATAAAAGTCAGAATGAATGCTAGTGAGAATTAATCTGACCAAGTTGTCAGTCTATCGCAACTCAGCCAACCATGCCATTTGGGGTGTGACAAATCTGATTCAATATACTCAAGTGCATGACACTTGAAACACTTCATGGCTAAGACAAATTTGGGAACGCTCATCGTCTTCACTCATTCTCCACTCAGAACTAGTTTCTCCTCAAGTGGAGTCAACTTGGATGCTCTATCAGGTGTGTTATTCCTGTTTGATCTTGAGGTTGAAATCTGCCTGTAAGGCGTGACGGTTATCTGGTGATGTTGTCTCTTTCCTATTGAAGTTATGGTTTGAACATCATGAATGTAATGAACTAGTAGGTACTGGTGTTGTATTCCTCGCTTCATCTTAAAACATGTAGTAATTTTCCTCTTCACTTCTAGTTGTTGAAAAATTTTCACGTTAGCCCACCACTGAGATGCACTCTTCCTTAACTTGTTGGTCACTAGTTTCACCATTCCATCTGGTGGAACATCCTAGCACTCAGATACATTCCAACGTCCAGAGTCACTCGATAAACTAGTATGAGTTTATGTAACCGTCAAAAAATGGTAAATCCACTTTTACTTCAAAATCTTGGCTTTTTCAATATTTTATGTAAAATGTCCATGGTTTGGTCCCGATCGCAAGACCCGGGTGCTTGATACATGCAAAAATGGGATAGCAAATCTCTATACGCAGGCGCTCCTGCGTCACATTCACCTATAACAGATCAAGGTGTGTGTGTTCCCTTTCTTAGTTGTGGAACTCTTATGGGTGTGTAATGTATTTTTTTGGGGTTTTTTTAGTGGATTCCACCTATCAAAAAACCTTGTACCTTTTATTTTGATGAAAAAAAATTACGTATGAGTTTTTTTAAAATAGATAGACATATATATATATATATATATATATATATACCCTCCTTGCTCCATGATGTTAAAATTCATAGAAGGCCTTGATAAATCAATAATAAAAAACTGTGAGAAGCAGTAAGCACTCTAAAGAAGTGGTTTTTATAAAATCACTTGCCATTTATGTAGAAACAATTCACTAGTTCTGCATATTATTAGGGAGATTTACATACATGCCACATGATTAGACTGTATTTACATATAAAATGCCTAAACTTTGATATTTACTTATATAACACTTTGCGACAATCACTTTAAACATACACATGAAAAGGTATGTTTCACTTTAAAAGGATTAATAAGAGTGATATTTTTAATGTGATGTTAAAGATTTGAGTGTTATATAAGTAACAAAGTTTAAGCGTTAAATATGTAAATGCATGTGAATTGTGTGGTATGCCTGCAAACCCTCCAATTATTATGACCATACTGGCATAACAAGTATAATGTATTTTTTACCAATACCAATGTGGCAGGGACCACCATTTGCATTTTGTTGTTGATTGGAAGGGAAATGTGTTATGAAATGTTAAGCAAATTTGTTTTATTAAGGGCTGAAAACAAGTGCAACGCAAACAAATGGTCCTATCAATATCACTTTAATACAACAGCAAACATTTCTAGCCATAGAAGAGGTAGCTTTTTGGTTTTGACAAAAGGTGTAACCAAAGGCACTAAGTCAAGCTAGAGAATCAAAAGCGACAATAAAGATTCGACTTCAACAGTAATAACAGCATTTAAATACTTCAATAGTTCATAATACATAGACAAACAGGATAATGATAGCACGGAATAGCCAGACTGGGGACTAACATTTCAGCAGGTAGTTTGTATCAGAAGTGCATGCATCATTAGAAAACAGAGCTGATAAGTGACGATCTAAGCATAAAAATTCATCAAGTAAATCAGAATCCTATAAAAACAAGAGCCAGTACAGCCAATCAATCACTAAGAATTCAAAATTATGGCACACGTCCCAAAGAAGATTATGAACATACGGGTAGAGAATGAAGTCCAGGCATCCATTTTGCTTCCCGGCGAATGTAACGATAGTAGAATGAAATGATGAATACAGGAATTGGGCAAACTAACAAGCAGAAAACCGAATCACTAAATCGGTAAGCAGAACCCAAAAATACAACACAAGTATTATTTTTTTCATCTCCTAAACAGCTGATTAGAAACGATCTAGCATAGTAGAGGGAGGAAGATGATAAATCGAAAAAAATTACCCAGACATCAAATCAACTATTTGACAAAATTGAAACCCGTTCAATTCCCAAACAACCAATTCGAAACGAAGAATAGGTATGAAAAGAAAAAGAGAGAAGAGAGAGAGCAGAGAGAGAGGCGGAAAGACTGACATGGTATTTTCTCGAGCAGAGGGGCAGCCACCTCTCGGAGTATCCAGGAGATGACGAGGGAGAGAGCAAAAAGTCCGCAATATGCGATCCTCGCCGAACGGCGCGAGATACCCGCCGCCGCCGACGTGCAGAGACCGCACGTGCAGCTCGCGCAGCACGAAGCCAGACAAGATGCCGCCCACATCTCCGATAGCAGGTAGCCGAAAGGCGAATCGAAAAACGGAAGCAGGTAGTTTTTAGGGAACTGCTGAGATCTACGATGTCGTGGTGAACCTACTTTTTTAAAATGAGGGGATTTGCATACGGAGAATATCATAATAAAAATAAAATTATTATTATTATTAAAAATAAAATATATGTTTTCATATATAAATTTAACATCAAGATGCTATGTATATTTTGGTGCTATGTATATTTTGGTGCTATGTATATATGAAAATATATGCCTGATATATGTAAATAAATATGAATTGAGTATTACCTATGTAAATTATTCTTGAAAGTATTCTCAACAACACCAATGGTAACAACAGATCTGGTATATGTCTATAGTGTTGATGATTGCTTTTAATGATTGTATATTAGCTTCAACACTAGTATTTATGGTTTCTGTTATTGACCTCATTTTTAGGTCAATGGCCTTAAGCTCAAAATTATCATTATCTCTTGCTAAAGATATTGTATGACTCGAAACTGCATTTTGAAAGTTGATGATGTTCATTGTTGTATTTAAAGACCATGCAAACAAATTTGATGACCTTTTGAAATAATTTTTACCTGAAATCTTTCGATTCAAAATTTTCATGCATGAATATTGCTCATGAAACCCTAAAGTTAGCGTACTTCTGCACAGGTCAATCTGGTGATAAAAATTATATCTTATAAGTTGCATACTCCTCGTAATCATATGTGAAGGGCATGAAAACTAGTCTGGTGGTCACTGAACACCATTTTGCATAAATTGTGCATTTATAATTTTTGTGCGAGAAAATTAGTCCCACATAAAAGTTTTTCAACGAGTTTTTTTCTTTTTTTAAGTTGACTTCTCCATTGCAAACCTTTCAAACGAGCCATCCCTATCCCATATCCGACTTCATTTATGGCCCTTTTGAGCCGACGATTATTTAGAGGGAGAAAATGACAAACAAGAGAGAAAAAAAATAATTTGGTCATAACTACTTCGGAACAACTTCAAATCAAGTTTGAACTCAAAATTATTTTAAATATTAAAATACACATTTTGGTCTTATAAATTTCATTAAAATTCTCAGCTCAAAAACTTTTTTTAGCTCTCCAAAGGTTTGAGCCCACTTTGACCGAGAATATCTCACTAAGAAACTTTATTCAATCAAAATCATTTGTACCACTGGATGCCTCATATTTTTCTCTCCCATATGTGTCTAAGTTGACTTTTGTTCATAACTTACACCCAACCCATTTCTGAACACCGACCAAAAATGACCAGCCACTTCAAATGGTTATAACTTGAGCTAGAGATCTCTTTTTTTTAAAATCGCTTGAACCATTGGATTTCTTGATTTCGTCCTCTTTTAAATGACATAAAATTTTATTTTTCAATACTTGTCATAAATGCCTTAAGCGCATTATTAAAATTTTTAAAAAATAGCCCTCCATGCCCTTTTGATCTCCACACTTCATTCTACTTTCTTTTTTTATTTCCTCTTAAAACTTTCTTGAGTTCCTTTCCTTAATCCTTTGTCGAATTCACTCCCTCCCTTATTGGAAAGAATTGAAGCCCAAATTCCCTTTTTCCAATTAGATTTTCCCCCAATTTCGAAAATCCTCCTCCCTTAAGTCCTTGGCCGAAACCCATCAGACTCCATCTTCTAATTTTCGAAATCCTCTCCCTCTTGGAATAAAAAATCCTCTCTCCTGGCTGAAGCCCATTTTCTCTCCACCAAATCGAGGAGATTAAGACGCCAATCAAGGTTCAATGTAAAGGAAAGGTTCAAAACAAAGGCAAGGATCAAGGGAAGGAATTCATAGGTAGAAAGGTAAAACTTCTCACTTGTCTCTTTTTAATGTTTTCATTCAATCTTTGAGTCCTCCCATGTGTTTGCATAAAGCTTAAGATTCAACACTTTTTTTTTTGAAATATCTCATGTTTCCTTCACAATCTCATATCATGCTTTCAAAGTTGACCACACACTTTAAAGTTCTCTTATGAGCTGGCTTTATGTTATAATTTAAAAACCATGCAAAAATAATTTTTCACCATGCCTTTCAAATTCTTTTTTATAAGATCTTTATAACTTTTATGCTCTATGATAATTCCATGTATGTCTCATGATTGAAGTTAGGGCTTTCGCAAATACCATGTTCTTTGATGTCATCTTCATACATGTTATATGTAAATTTTTAGGACTTTTCATGTTTATGTGTTTTGTTTCATCTATGTTATATCTTACATATCAAACCATAAAACTTCTCATGCTTATGTACTTTATTTAATTATGTTACATCTTACATGTCAAACCATAAGGCTTCTCATGTTTAGTGCTCTATTTAGTAATTAACATGTTCCTCTTTCCTAATCTGCCAAAACCAAAATACATGTCTCCTTAAATCATCAAAACTAAGGGCCTAAGCCCATGAACACACTTAAATCGAGCCTAAACCCTCTTAATTCACCCTTAACTAAAAATTTCTTGGCTTAATTAACTTTTCATTCTTTAATTTCTCCTAAACCAAAACCTCATCCCTCTTAATCATCCTTGACAAAAAACTAAGCTCCCTAATTAGATTACTAGTGACTAAATGCAACCTAAATTAATCTGATTAATTCATAATTATTTAATTAAATAATTAAATCACTCAATTAACCTACTAATTAATTAATTAACTCATTAAAATATTAATCAATCTACTAATACATTAATTAATCCATCAAAATATTTGCTAACATAATTAATTAATTAATTAATTAATTAACTAATAAATACAGTAATCAACTCACTAATTAATTAATCAACTCACTAATTATTTAATCAACTCACTGATACACCTAAAATATATAACATTTATGTACACATTTTTATACATATTTTTGAGGATATTGCGCTTTAATGGAATGTATTTATGTATTTTTTTTCTTTCAGGTACAATTAAATGGATGAAATATGGTGAAAGGAGTAAAAAAAGACCAAATTTGGATAAAAAATAAAAAAGGTGTGAAAATGAACTATGACACTTAAGTGCCTAGAACTGATGCTTAAGCGCCAGGAGGCAGAGAAGGTCGTGTCTAAGCACCGAAGACCTCACGCTTACGTTCCAGAGATGGTTATGATGAAAATTCAAGGAAAAGAGAGGAGGCAACACTTAGAAGATTCATTGAATGTAGACACATTTTTTAAGAGACACCAAAACACCTTTTGGAAAACTATAAAAAGGAGGACTTGGATTGAAGAAAAAGAAAGGAAGAAAAGAGATTAGAGATATTGAAGACTTGGATACTTTTAGAGTGTAAAAAGTATGGAGTTTTAGGATTTTATTTAGGGCTTCTTCTCACTTTTCTCAATCCTAGTGAAGGAGAAAGTGATTAGATAGTGCTAAGTAAGAATCCATTGTAGTTTGTTAGTGAGATAGAGAGATTTTAACTCTCTAGGGTTGGGCGACCAGACCTAGGGAGGATTGTAAGAGAAAGGAGAGAAAGGAAAGAGAAAGGAAGAGAAAAGATTCAAAGAAACTTCATAAGTTTGGTAGGAGGAACTTGAGATAAGTTTTTATCTTTGCAACTACATTTGATTTTAATTTAGACTTCTTGTGTGTTTACATGATTTCTACTTTTAAACTTAATTGTTGTTGTGTTTTCTCCATAAATTCTGAGTAGCTTTCTTTATCTTTTTTCTTAAAATGATAAGTATTTAAGTGTTGGAAGGAAGTTGTGTAAAGTATTGATCTATAATGTTGGAATAAGTTGTGATGATTTAATCCTTGTACTTCATTTACTTCTTGATTTGGTTAATTGAGATATTAAATTTTGTTGTGAGAACATTTAAGATCTGTGATGGTATTGTTTCAGTCAACTAATGGTAGAATCACATGAGATTGTATGGATGAGAATGTAATTCATATGGTTGAGTGCAAATAAATAGGGAAATAAACTTTGAAGGGTGTAGAATTAAAGGACTTTAAAGTGACAGACTAAAGCCCCCAATTTGGTCTATTGTTTTAGGTTTTGATATGAGAAGTTAGCCCTCAGGTGAAGGGAGAAGAGAGAACTCTAGAGTGAGAGCTAGTATTTTCCCTACCTACCATTCAAACTTTAGATTAACCAATATTCTTTATAGCATCTCTAGTAAGAGTAAAGAATAATATTGCTCCTATTTGACACAACACAATTTAATTTTTTTCACGATAGAATTACTATACTTGTTACTGATTCATGATAAGGAAAAAGATATTTTATTTTTATTGCTTTCATCTTACAAAAATCTAGTTAAATTTAGTTGGTTGTTTACTTTATTTTCAATTATAAAAAATTACAAAAAAAGAATCAAATTTTCATTCCAACCATAATATCTATAGTTTGAGTAAGACTATTTTTCAAAGTAGAATTTGTTGTCTAATTTCTTCTTAAACGTTAATAGTTCTCCCCATGGGTTCGATATTTTGGGGTTTAATAAAAAAGTCATATATTACTTGATAATGATACATATACTTGTGATCCCAATATTTAAATATAGCATTTGCACTCTTACTTGCTTCAAAATCAAGTTTTTGGCACCGTTATAAAGATGAATTATAAATAAAGAGAATAGAGAATCTAACCACACATACATTATAATATTACGTACCAAAAAGTCGGATCAAGTTTTTGGCGTCGTTGTTAGGGAGAAAAAGAAAAATTAAGTAAAATTTGAAGGAATTTTTTGAAAAACAAAATCTCTATTTTTAGAAAGCCTTATTTAAACTTTTAGATTTATTATTGGTATATTGTATAAGTTCTTATTTGTGTGATTTTATTTTATTTTGTAGTAATGTATGTGTTGTTCAGGTTCTCAAGGACAAGTGCCGTACAATTTTAAATTAGAAAGAACTATTAGAAAAATATAAAAAAAAATCAAAAATACAGAAAAAGTTCAAAAATTTCAAGAAATGACAAACTAAAATAATTAAAATGCTGAAATTCATCAAGATTTTATACCTTTAAGAGATTATGCAAGTCTTACAGTTGATGAACTTCATTGTAGTATTCAAAAACCTGTTGCAGTGGCTAATTCATTTGAACTTAAATCTGTT